ATGTTTAAATTTCTAATGCATATATAGCCATGAAAAAATTATCTGTTAATCATATAATGCACAATATTTAAATGCGAAAACAATATTTTGAGAAAGAAAATAAACAAAAGGTCGTGAGGTGCATACCCAGGTAATGAGGTAAATAGTAAATTTAAAGTGGTTTGTTTGGGGAGGGGGGAATTTGTAAGAACTTCCAAGGTAGGTGTACTTAGAAAAACGGATCAAGGTTTTTTAAATAAATTAAATGTACATGTGTTTAAATTTTTTTATTTTAATAGTTTAAAAAATTTCAAATGAAAAATATAAATGAATTGAGATTTAAAATAAAAATGAAAATTTAAAAATGACAAACTTTATTTCTCTTTTTAACCTACAAGGGACAAAAAAAGATACACGAATAGCAATATATTCATAACAAAAATGTGAAGAGAATAAAATATTTAAAATAATTAGAATATGAAATAATTAAAATATAGAGAGAATTTCAAATTATAAAAAAATTATAATTTAAAATGAATTTGAATTTAAATTAAAAAATTATTGAGTATTCAAATAGAAGATTTGGTTCAAATTCTAATCCTAATACTAATCTTTTTAATCCAAACACACCATTAGATTAAGTGAATTAAGATTACAACTTTAATTCAGTTGAATTACCTTAATTCTTTTTTCCAATTACCCGTACCTCATGGTGCCTTTTTTTTTCCCACTTTTCCCTAAGAAAAATTTATGAGTCCATAAATTATCTCAAGCGACTCCATCAATGGGCTGATGGACTAGATGAGCATCATCACGCACGGTTCAAATGTTTCGTCATCCATTCTCGGGGATGAAATTTGACCTCTTCACATTCAATACTCACCACTTTCATGAACGCCACATGCTAACTATGATATTAATAACATTTGCATTTCAAATTTCTTCTTTTAAATCACATTGTAAATTACTTTTTAAAAATACTTTTTAATTTAAAATATAAAATATTAGATAAATTTTATATTTCTTATCATTTATACTCTTACTTTTTTTATTCCTTATATTTAATTGCTCCATATTTAAAGATTATGCAGATGTTATTAGAAAAATTCAAGAACATAAATGTAAAGATGTGAACATTTTTATAAACATAAGGTTTAAACTAATATTTTTTATAAAACATGAAAGAGTTACCAATGACATATATTGTGATTTGAAGAGATTATATCTCAACAATCTGGATTTAAAAATTTTAAACTATATTTCCTCCGTTCAAGAATGCAAGGCCTTGTTAATCGAATCTCACCCTTTAATAAAGCAGTTACCTACTTTTAAACTAACCTTATCTTTTCATATTTACTCCTATTAAATAACTTATAATAAATATAAATTTATTATCAATAGGAGCACTTTAAAAAAAAGTAATAATTACACCTCAAAAAATTTAAAATGTCTTACATTCTTTTAATATTGAACTCCTTAAAAAATATCTTACATTTTTAAACAGAAGCATTGTTTATACAGTAAATTTATTTTTAAATAAAATATAATGACTTCCTTCCGTTTTGCTAAAATTACAGAGTGCTTCCACTATTTTCAAAACCCACAATTTAGCTTGCTTTTTAGCATGGTTGAGAATATTTCATTAAAGATTATAAAATATTTTAATTTGTATTTTTAATTATGTTAAAATTATTTAAATAATTATTTTTCCCTCATGATCTAACTGTCTACTCTCCCTCTCCTTAATTTAAGGATATTTAAATAATTAAGTATGACAATATTAAAATAATTAATCTAAAAATAGTGTCCAAATTAATAAATTTTAAATAAAAAATAAAAAATTATATTGATTACATCCCCGTTTCATTAAATTTAAAAAAAAAATCATTATTTTAGACTTATGTGAAACATCCTAATTTTCGCAGTTGAGAATTTAGAATCTTTAAGCGTCATTCATGAACTTGATCAAGGATAATTATAGAGCTAGATAGGTGGAAGATCACGAAACCAAGTTATTTTTTGAGGTTTTGAGGTTCTACTCTCGTTTGTCAGTAGGACCACGTCTATCTGCGGATAGGGACAAAGAGCAGGGATTGGAGTCCCAAGTTGCGTCCAGTCTCCGTGGAGACGCATTGCAAATTCAATTGTTCACAAATGACGGATGAATACGAGAAATCGCCCTTTGACTTTTCGTTTGTGTATTTTACTTTTTTTTTAAGAAAAAAAAGTGGTAGTTATGAAATTAATTTTAGGTCACCATTATATTTTGGAGATGATAATTCAAGTCAAGATTGAAGGCCAAGTGAAATGAGCTCGAAAAAGTTTAAGACCATATTTGGGCGCTTATACAATTTTCTATAACTGTCCAAATAAATTTAAAGAAATTTAGGCAACGTCCAAACCCAAATGAATTTTTCCTTGAATACTCAAATTATTTTTTTATTATTAATAATATGAAATTAACTTCATCTCAACTTGCACTTAATCTTCACAAATCTTCTCCCAGACTACTAGTTCAAATAGTTTACATGCTTAAATGAAATTTTAATGTTCTAATAATTGTTTGTTTTGATTTTTTTTGAAAATATTCAAAAAAAACTCCTTTAATGGTTGCTCTCACTTTAATAAGCATGGAAAGAAAAAGTTTGCATTGTAGTGTTATTTGAAAAATCTTAATTTTTTAAGATAAAAGTTAAAATTGGCTCAAAAAATAAAATAATATAATATTTTATAATTCAAATATATGGGCTTGTTCAAATTAGTCTAAAAGTCCTATCCAATTAAAGTAGTACTTGGCTATATGAAATTTGATATGACACCTTGTAGAAGAATTTTTTAGTTTTTAAAACAAGGAACTTAAAAAGATATTAATTGCATTTTTATAATATTATTCCTATTTAACATAATTAATTATGAGATAGAATGCAATGTAAGTTTAAATTTTTTATTAAATAAAAATATAATTAAAAGTTTATTTCATTTTTAGATAAAATTAATGACTTAATTAACTCTTTTTAATTTTGATCAAGTAAATAGACATACCTTATAATAAGAATATGAGGGACTATTTATTAGGATAAAATATATTTGAAATATAAAATAAAATAAATTTAAATGATCTAAAATTAATGTTTAGATTCATGATCTTCCTGACCCTTTTGATGACCATGTAATGTGCTCCTGAAATTGGACCTTTTACTAAGGTTTCAAAAATCAAAAAGTCAAGTCAAATTTGATAGTCCAACGGTCGGATCGTATGTTAGGCTTGACCGCAGCTCGGGGTTGTGGATTGAGTCATTTTCATGTCTAGCCTGGAGCCAGACAAAAATCATCTTTGAGAATGAGATGGAACGAAACCTGGCAAAAAAATAAAAATAACAAAGGATAAAAAATTAAAAAAGTTTTTAGAATTACGTCTTGTTTAGTTTGGGGCTGGATTCCCTCTTCTTCCATTTTCATCCTCTCCTCCCTCTTAACAGTTGAAATTAACATTTTAGATGGTTTGGACTTGGCTCTTCACTCCCACCTCAATTCTCTGCTTGTTTTGCTCACTTTTGGCATCCTGTTCCATTGCCTTTGTAGCATCCGTCATCAATTGACTGGTTTGCTTCTCCTGCATTGTGGTCAAGGAAGAGGGAAACCATAAGGCTGAAGCCTCTAGTGCTAGTAGTCGAACTCGAAGCCTTTCTTAAAATTGAAGGCAAGCTGCCATTTGTCTTGTTGGTGCTTTGTTGTTACTGCAATGGTATGCAATTACTTTGCATGCATGCATACATACATACGGAATGAAAGAAAGTATCGGTGATTTGTTAGACCTCTCTAATTTGCAAATGCTGAGTAGGAGATAGTGGCTTGGTTAAAATCTTGCTCTGTAGTTTTCATGTTTTAATAATTGCTTGATGATAATTATATTTATATTTATGAATAACAAAGTTTGATTGGATTTTAAGCTCGCCTTTGCCTTCCAACATTTAAAATTGAATCGGTTACAATTCTATATATGACTAGTTCTGAGGATCATTTTGTCCATATCAACCAGTTCCAATGCTATAGTTCATTTTAATATATATATTACTTTGTTCTATTTATAAACTGTTTTATAAAACAAAAACAGAAAAATGGTCCTAATTATAAGGTGGCAAGCAAAAGAGATAAAATAATCTTTTCATTTTACCTTTTAATTTGAAAAAATATTTGCACAAATAACAATAGATTCATGATCTTCTTCTAATTAATAAGGGGTATTTGAAAAGCTGAAATGTTTTTTAATAAATAAAGTAACATAATAACTTTTCTTAAGCTAAAGCACGTGAAACGTATTTCAAATACTTTATATATAAGATCGAAAAGAATATATCATATGTAAGGACTTAAACATAATTATGATAAAAAAATTAATTAAAAATAATAAAAAAAATATTTTGATGATATTTTATAAATTTATAATAGATTGGAATTTAAGTGTGATATCTACTTGCTACTCTTAAGTTCGAATGCCCATTGTATCAATTTAGACTATGTTTGGTAGCATTGAATTGATAAGGTGGAGATAGAATTAAAGATGGAATCCTAATTTAATTATGATTGATATGTAAGAGTTACAATTTTTAAAAATTCTAATTCCACCAAAAATGTTAGAATCCAAATTGCTTCAATTTCCTTAAATTCAATTTGTAAATCTCACTATCTTCATCTTTTTTGTCTATTTATAATAAATTAAGTCTTTTTAATTTTGAAAAAAAAGGACAATTTAGTCTTTTCTTATTTTAAGTACATATACAAATTAATATTATATTAAAATTTTATTTTCATATCAAATACACTTTTAAAATTCAATTCTATTTCGATTTTAATTTCAATTTCAATTTCAATTCTATTAAAAATTCTTTCATCATATCAAACGAGGTCTTAGATTTTATTTTACTTTAACATTGTAAAATTACCAAAACGCCTCTGTCAAAAGAGAAAAAATGCACACAATATCAGATTTTCTTATCCCTCCCTACTTTTTCATCGTGTTTTGCATCTGAAAAAAATGGAGAGACAGAGGGCTTCGGAAAAAAGGAAAACCCAGGACCCTCCGCGATTCTCCTCCTCCTCCGCCACGAGCGTGAGGGAAAGACAGTGGTGATGGATTTTCCGTTCTTCCGTTCGTCGCCTATGTGTGTGCGGTGGGTGATCTGTTGCTGCTCGAGGTTACCGAACTCTTCTCCCTTCTTCCCTGTTCTTGCGCACCTGATCCTTCTTCTACATCTCTGCCTGGCATTATTCTGTGTTGGTGTGTACAAGAGAGATTCAGTTCTTGTTCCTTCTCGTTGCCATTTGCTCACCATTGTAGACAGCCGTTCATCTCGTGATTTCTCTTCTCCCCTGTTTCTGTTGGTACTGTTTGAGAGAGTTAAAGGAGCTTTGATCTCCTTCCTTCGTTCTCCACAGGCTTGCTTGGTGAGTTGAACCTATTTCTTTTTCTCATTGCAGCAGCGAGAATGTGTTGATTGGGTTGGTGGGAAATTGATTTTCCCCTTCTATCAAAGTGTGGTGCGTGGATGGGAAAGTAATTGGGGTTTCAAACAAGCTGAGATTAATTCTAAAGAATATGTTTCTTCACTCTTATTTTTCCTTTCTTTGAAAAGCTTAACCCCCTTTTGACATGTGCTTATGTCTGTAATCCTCAAATTAATTATATAATTCAAATTTGCTTTGGGAAAATTTTCAGTTGATTCCCCTAAATTATTACATTTATTTATTTAATTTCTTTTTAATGGTGGCTTTTACGAGAATTCATGTCTTTTTTCACATTGAAAACCATCAAAACTATAGTTTTCATGAAAACATGTTCTTAGGCTAATTATAGGTCTACAAATATTATTTGATCCAAAATATAGGGTGATATGTAATATTTGTATTAAAAAAATTCTTTTCTTTTTTGACCAGCATTAAAAAAATTCTTTTCATTTTATCCATTTTGTAATATTTGCATTAAAAAATTATTTTCATTTTATCCATTTTCTTGGTTTTATGAGGATGTGTTGGTGCTCAGAGTGTTATTAATCAATTTTAAATTTGATGCTACCAATAGTTAGGGATTTGAATATCATTATATAAGTAATAAACTAGTTAAAAGAGATTTCTCTCAATATATTGAAGGACTGTTGGTGAAGCCTACTCTTTATGCTAAAAAAAATGCCACTAATTTTGAATGAAGATTGAGAATTTAACGAATGAGAGATAGGCGTTTAGAAGAATTTCATGTAAACTTCATTAAAAAAAGAATTTACTGTAAAAAAATGTGTATTTTAACTTTATATATTTAAAGTGCTTTATAAAGCTAAGTATCTAGGTATTACATACCCATGTAATATAAATCTTGAAATTAATATAGTAAATAAAAGTATATTTAAAATAACTCTTATTTGTTATAAAAATAACTCTTATTTATATATTTGATTGGGTTGGTGGGAAATTGATTTTCCCCTTCTATCAAAGTGTGCTGCGTGGATGGGAAAGTAATTGGGGTTTCAAACAAGCTGAGATTAATTCTAAAGAATATGTTTCTTCACTCTATTTGGGTTTGTTGCTACTTCAGAAAGATAGATATGGGTTTGAATTTCTTTAAACTTAATTGATTCTTGGTACGAGATTTAGGTCCTCTTTTCTATCGATGATTCTGTGTGTGGGTGGGTTAATTGGTTGAAATGGTTATTTCTTCTTCATTATTGTTGCTGTGCGTGATTGGGGGGGGGGGTAGATGGGGTTTGATCAAGTTGAAACTTGAGTTAAAAGCATAATTCTTGGTAGGCAATCTCCCTTATATGTTAGTTATTGTAAGATGAAGAAATTAGTTTTATTTTTCTTTGAGCTTAATTGATTTGTGTGGAAGGAGTGAAATTTGAGAAGTTTGGTAAATTAAAATTTGGCATTAGAAATTGTAGAGAAAGAGATTTAAATAATAAGATGTTTTTGTATGGTTTGATTCTGAAAATACACATGGTGTTCAATGAAATGTTCGGTAGAAGACTTATGGTTTGATAAATGTATTATTGTTAGTTAAATTATTATAATAGGGAATTATTTCTGTAATGAAAGATTGGAAATGAAATTAGAAATTTTGGGGAAAAGGTATTTACTTAATAATTCCAGCCAAGATTGTTCTTATGTTAGCTTTTGGGTGCATATAAGCTGTTTGACCAAATGTTTGTAAAAGGGAGATTATGAAAATTGGATTTATATGATTGACGATGTTGAATGAGTTATGGTAGAAGTTGCCTATTTTCTATCAGAAGGCTTAGTGACTTTGAATATGTTTATATAAGTATTCTAGAGACTTGAAAATTTATTATGAATGGTTTAAGTTGAGATTTTCTTTTCTATTCCTCTAAGTTAACTTGGATTGAAAATTTTAGATATATAAAAATGAATAAAAGAAATAACAATGATATCACTCTAGGTGTTAGGGAATTAAGAAGCAAACAATATTACAAAAGTGGTTGATTATGAGTATGTTATGTATTTGGAAGTATCTTAGGTAAGTGTATAGCGTCCTAAATGATCTATAAATTTATTTCCTTCAAAATAATGTTTAAGCGTATCCATGACTATTTTATCATTATAAATTAAGTTGTATTATCGATTATTATGGAGAAAGATGCTTCTAATATACTAAGTTTTGAAAGAAAAGTTAAAATTATTTTACAATTGGGTATCTATCATTATATATTGAAAGTGTTTGACTTATGGGTTAAAGAATGATTTATCATTATGAATCATGTATGCTTGATTTAAATTGGGGACTGAATCAGAACGCTCTCTTGGTGCACCATGATACACCTAGCTAGTAGGCTGCTGTATGAAGTGTTAGCCCTGTGCTCAGGCCAATGCATATGGAACGGATGGATGGATATTTATGAGCATTGTCTTCACGCTTGGTTCGTCAGTTTCGTGTTTGCGCTTGTTTTGTAGCTGATGCTGCACTTGTTTTATGGCTTGCAGTTGTGTTTGATTGACCATTTACCCCCATGAATTGTGTGTCCATGCTTGTTTGTTATTTACTCTTATAGACTGTATATCCACACTTGTTAATCGTTTTGATAAAGTCTTGCCAAAGAAAAATTTTGAAATTATTGTTTTTAAAACTAATCCTATTAAACAAGCTGGTTTTATAAATAGAGTTCTTTATACTGAACGATGCATCTTTTAATTGTTTGATACGAGCATGATAGTTAGGAAGTGGAATTGGATTATTGTGTTATTATCATATGAAAATATTTCTGGATTAAGTGTTTGAATGGAATTATTTGATTTGAGTTATGCAACCCATATAATTTGAATGACTATTTAGTTATTTTATGCCTACTCCATTTATATTTTTTTCTTTTATTTCCCTTAAATTTTAAATTTGGGACATTATTCATTAAAAAATATATTTTTTATCTTAGATAATATAGCTGAACCTGTGTCTCAAGGTCTAAATTGAGGCGTTTTATCGCTAAGATGGGGTGGAAGAATTATTTCAGACAAATCTTGTTTGATATAAATTTGAACTTTGTATTAATTTCATGGTTTGATCCTAGGTGCTCCACATATGCTATGGGCAACATTCTCATCTTTCTTTTAAAGCTGTATATCTGTTGGTAATGAGCAATGATTATTTTATTTGATTATTTTTATTCTTTGTTGTAAATTTCAGGAATTATATTTATGGTGAAGTCCTATTAGAAATTTTTATAAGGAATTTATTGTTTTGTTTATATGAAATATATTAAAGATAATATTTTTTATATCGAAAATATGCCTATAGTTTTGCATGAATCAAAATATATGTGTCTAAGGCTCAAGGGGTATGGGTTTTATATACTTGTCCTGTGCTAGTCACGCCTAATTTTTAAGGCGTGATATCATATGCATAGTATTGGCTAAGAGAGAATCAGCCAAGCAAACAATTTGCCATAGGCAGGTTATTGAAATGGCAAAAACAATTATACTCTTTTAGAACTAATTTGCACGGCTCAAAATTTTAGCCTGAACAAAGACAAATTATGTTGTATTACTTTTATTTTACATTTACCCTATTTGAATTTATACCTTACACTCAACTATGGGTCATGGTTTGTTTGTCTACCAACCCACTTCACTTTGTGTTTTATTTAATTACCCCTTCCATCTTTTATTTTTAACTTTTGGCATGTGGCAACTTAGGGAGGATCTTGAGGTCAACTACTTCACCCTCCATTCCCTAACTATTGTTGCCTATTAGGCATTGCTTATATTATACCCATTGACCTAGTAGAGGAATGTGGTAATAATCTGAAATGTTCTTGTGGCAAGTGAATATGTCAGTGATCCAGGAATTCAAAGATTTGGGGAAATTTCCTGATTGATAAAATTTTCAATTTGGCATTCTGTTCAAGGTTTAACTATTTAATAAGGGGAAATAAAGCTTACTTGTTTTCTTCATTTTCTTGTCACTCCTAAAGCTAGCTAAGCACAGAACCTATTGTAATCAGCCACTAAAGTGCTTTGGTTTTGACCAAGTATAATCTCAGTGGTAAAAAATCAATTGGTTTTTTATCTCATTTTCTGCCCCTGGATTGTATCCACTTAGCTTCCAAATATGAGAGACTGATGTCAAAGATCAGTTTTTAACGTAGATCCTATACTGCCGGATCTAGAATTCTCTGTTCAAAATTCATGATCCCAGCATTCAGCTCTGGATAGAAAATTTTAGTGATGGCAGCAACAAACATTGAACAATGAACAGTGTTTTTATAATAACAAAAATACTTGATAATTCTGTATTTTGTGTTGTTAGTTGTTAATGGATTTTAACATCTACCGTATAATTATATTTCACAAAAAAAAGGGCATCACAAGTGATAGTGAGGTTGGCTAACTGTAAGGTATTTAAAGGCAAATTCATTTATTTTCATTTATTTATCTGCAATTATATTTCGTTGAATTTGCAAGAGACTAATCAATGCTTTATTTTAAATTCTGAAAAATAAAAAATGGTACTTGGTCTATTGCTTTTTGAGCTATGTTTTACTTGAATGAACTCTGTTGTAGACTGCGAAATGAGCTGCAGCAAGGAGTAAGTTGGCAATGAGCTAAATACTGATACATACTCATTTCATCTTTGGTTTAATTGATTTATTATATGCCAATTTCTTTTGTGAGTGTCCAATGGATTTCTTTTAAATGCAGAGGTCAATTGTTGGATAATGGCTATATTGGTAAAGACGCAAGCAGGGTTTCCATTGATAAATCTTGCTAAGTTAAAGGGGATTCCTATTTTGCAGCAGTTGCATCTGGAGAAGTGGCTGCTGCGAACTAGCTCAGACAATTGGTGCATTAGAAATGATGGAACCAGTTCCATGCCATTGTAATGGGCTTGTCTGGTTATTTCTTTCTATGCTTTAGCCCTTCTTCTGACAATCATGTTTTGTCTGTACTGAGCTCATATCTCTAGTTTTTCTTGCATTGTGTTTGGCATGCATTATATGACAAGTTGTAAATTCATGATATCATGGCTAAACCATTACTCGCTGGAAAGCTTCCTCCCCTCACTCTTACATTTGGTAGGCACCTCCGCAATGTTCTTCTCTAGAAGACCTGACTAAGCTTTTGAAAGTGCTAGCTGATACCAAAAATTTAAAATTTGGTTAAAACTGCTCATGCCCAGTTGGTTGTTAGGAATCAAACTTCAAAAGATAGTGACATCTCTCAAATAAATTCATTGATCAACCTATATGTCAAATGTAGTCAAATACAGCTTGCTCAAAAGCTATTCGATAGAATGCATAAGAGGAACGTAGTATCTTGGAGTGCCTTAATGGCAGGATATTTGCATAAGGGGGATGAATTGGAGGTTTTTGGACTTTTTAAAGCTTTAGTTTCCTTGGAAAATTCATGGCCAAATGAGTATATTTTTACTACAATTATTTCTTGCTGTTCTGATAGTGGGAGAGTTGATGAGGGTAAGCAATGTCATGGCTATCTGTTAAAGTCTGGATTGTTATTTCATCAATATGTGAAGAATGCCCTTATTCATATGTACTCAAGGTGCTTTCATGTGGAATTAGCGATGCAGATTTTGGATACAGTGCCTGGTCATGATGTTTTTTCATACAATTCTATCATGAATGCACTTGTAGAATCTGGTTATACAAGGGAAGCTGAAGCAGTTTTAGCAAGGATGGTGGACCAATCTGTAGCTTGGGATAATGTCACTTATGTTACTCTGTTTGGCTTTTGTTCTCATATTAGAAATTTGCAATTTGGTTTGCAAATCCATGCCCAACTGTTGAAATCTGATCTGAAGTTTGATGTCTTTGTTAGTAGCGCAATGATAGACATGTATGGGAAATGTGGAGGAGTCTGGAATGCAAGAAAAGTTTTTGATGGCCTTCAAAATCCGAATGTGGTCGCATGGACAGCAGTCATGGCAGCTTACTTGCAGAATGGGCATTTTGAGGAAACTCTGAACCTATTTAGAATTATGGATCTTAAGGACACTGCACCAAATGAGTGTACTTTCTCAGTGTTGCTTAATGCTTGTGCAGGTCTAGCATTGTTAAGCCATGGTGATACATTACATGCTCGGGTCGAGAAGGCAGGTTTTAAGAATCATTTAACTGTCAGAAATGCTTTGATAAACATGTATTCCAAGACTGGCAGCATTGATTCAGCATATAATGTGTTCTCAGATATGTTGTATCGAGATACCATCACTTGGAATGCTATGATAAGTGGGTACTCCCACCATGGACTTGGTAGGCAAGCTCTAAAAGTTTTTGAAGACATGATTTATACTGGAGAACGTCCAAACAGCATAACTTTTGTTGGTGTTCTTTCTGCTTGCGCACATTTAGGCCATGTAAAAGAAGGGTTCTACTATTTGAATCATCTAATGAAAAAATTCGAAATTGAACCAGGATTGGAGCACTACACATGCATGGTCGCACTTTTGAGCAAAGTTGGCCTTCTCAATGAAGCCGAGAACTTCATGAAGACAACACAGGTCAAGTGGGATGTTGTTGCCTGGCGTACTTTGCTCAATGCTTGTCATGTTCTTCGAAATTACGGTATGGGAAGAAAAATTGCAGAACATGTCATACAGATGGATCCTCATGATGTGGGAACATACACATTGCTGTCAAATATGCATGCCAAGGCAAGGAGGTGGGATGGAGTTGCAAAGATTCGAAAACTGATGAGGGACAGAAACATTAAGAAGGAACCTGGGGCAAGTTGGCTTGGGATTAGAAATGACACACACACCTTTCTTTCAAAAGCCAGCAATCATCCTGAGTCTAGTCAAATTTTGCGAAGGTCCAACAATTGTTGGCAATGATTAGGCCATTAGGATACATACCAGATACTGCTGTTGTGCTGCATGATGTGGAAGATGAACAGAAAGAAGGCTATCTGAGTTATCACAGTGAAAAGCTGGCCATAGCATATGGACTCATGAAAATACCCTCACCAGGACCCATCCGTGTGATAAAGAACCTTAGGATGTGTGATGATTGCCACAATGCTGTGAAACTAATTGCAAAGGTCACAAACAGGTTGATCATTGTTAGAGATGCTAACCGTTTTCATCATTTCCAAGATGGTTATTGTACTTGTTCTGATCACTGGTAGCAAACTAATGATTCTTCTCAGTGTTCGTTTTCTTAGTTGAATGTGGTACGTTAACAAAAGGGGAGAAAAGATTGACAAATGAACATTCATATGCTTCTCAATGGTACTTTTTTCATTCAAGTCAGAAATAAAAAATGATGAAATGTTTAAAATGTTAAATTAAATTTTAAGCAATACAGTTTGAAAACAAAAAAAAAAATTATGACAGGAAGGATTTTGGTATTTTGAAATGAGTAAATGGTTCGGTGTGTCTCTCACTCTCAAGAGAAAGGGAGGCCATGTTTAAAAATGTATTGGCTCGATTAGAAAATCAGCCGAATCAGTGTGGTTTTAGTGTATGTCAATGACAATATGAAATGAAGTGCCTTATATTATTATTATTATTATATTATTATATTATTATTATTATTATTATTACTATTATTTGGCATTTATGTTTCGTCATCGTTATTCTTTCCTTGGACAGCTACTCATTATGAGTTTTTTTTGGGCATCATTGCTAAGCCTAAACTGATCCCCCTGTTTCGAAGTGGGCGGTCCAAAAACAGTGTACCAAAATTGGTACACCAGCCCAGCGTTTGTTTACATGGGCTTTAATTGGGCTAGGAGACTTTCCCCTGGAGCAAAAGAAAAAGGAAAAGGCCTTTGGGCTTCTCTACCGAAAGAGATTGGGCTTCAGATCTAATGTCACCTGTGTGAAGGAGGGCCCTTAACATTGCACTTTTTATAACCCCCCCCCAAAAAAAAACTTTGGACCTTGATTTATTGAAAATTACAATTTAGAAATTCATATCAGAAAAATGTTTTTACCAAAAACAAAAATATTTAAATTAATTTAAATAAAAATATTTAAAATTTGAAATTGAGATTGAAAATCTCAGTTCAAAATTTAGATTAATTTTTTTAGTTCTTCAAAATTTAAAATCATTTGTATAAATATATCTAATTCCTAAAGTGTAATGTTTACAAATTTTTTCGATCCTTGGCTTAACTAGGCCTGTCACTTCATATTAATTTTCAGTGGTTATTCACTTTGAAGACCCAGCCTTTTTTAGAGGTTGGGAGAGGGTTAGTTTGTACTTTGCATAATAAGTCATTGCAAATTAAGGACCTGTTTGGAAACCTGTTCTAGGAACAGTTTTTGTTCTCTAGAACAAAAGAATAAAAAATCGTTGGTAACGTGTTTTCAAAAAGTATTTTGGAGAATAAAAAAAAATAAAATTATCTGGAGAACAGAAAAATGGAAAACAACTTTTAAATGTTCTATGATTATTGTTCTGGAGAACAAAAGAGAATTAGAAAAATACTTATTTTCATTATTTTTTGTTCTCATAACATGTTCTACAGAACATCAGTTTTCAGAACAATAAAATAAAACAGTTTCAAACAGCCCCTAACTCTTCCTAAAGTCTCCCCTAGTTTTCACAAAATACTTAGACCAACTTACAATAAGTTCAATGTTTGTGACTTATTCGTCACGCACTACAAAAGATGGGGGAGACTTTTTTTTTTTTTAACCAATCTTAAGCAAATTTGCTAAATGTATGGATTGAAGTATTAGTTTATTAGTTCAATTTTAATAGATGATTAACACACACACACAAGCATTAAAAACACCAATAGGCTTTGACTTTTTAGGAATGGTAGAGCAACATTAGGTAATTGGGAAAAGCCTAAATGTTATAACAAGAGGCAAGTGGAGTAAAGTGGAGTGGAGGGTTCATCATTCAAATTTTTTCCAAATCCTCATTAGTGACTAACTAACCAATACCAAACTTGCCACCACAAATTATATATATTAGTGGGCTTATAATGGCAAGAAGGTTTATTAAAGTTCATGTGTGTGGGTGTGTGTGAGAGCAAACTTTGGCAATCAAAATTGGAATCAGGCATGGGAAAAAAAAGAGAATCATATAACAAGTGGTTGACAGTTGACAGTAAATAATATAATTAGCCAAAGAGAAGCATGCTTGCTTAGATAGAGATAGAGAGAGAGAGAGAGAGAGAGAGAGAGATGCCACTAATATGCTGATTCCTTTAGACTTGGCGCCCTCTAAGTAATTACACTGGGCTTCTTGTTTATCAAATCAAATTAAATGTAAAGTTGGGAAGCTTCACACACACACTGGGAGGAATTTAATTCACTTTCTTCTTTACTACTTCCTCAATCTCATTTTATAGGATGTTTTTTTTGGGCGAAAATACATATGCTACTGAAAATCATTCAATGTAATTTATAATCTTAATATTTTCTACAAACTTTCAAAAGTAGCCTTCATTAATAAGAAAGAGGGAGAGATGAGATATGAATATATTTAAGGAGTGAAATAATGAGGGGGGTAATATTGAGATAATTATCATTAATGAATCCTTATTCTTTTCAATACATCTTATATTTTGAGACAAACTGTTTGGTGTTTGAGTAAGTGTATATATTGTAATTATGACATGGGTGTTGGGTGTTGGTTAGTGAATTAATAACGAAAAATATCATAACTACTCCATTTCAATACTAACACCTTGTTTAATTTGGAGGGGAATAGAGGGAAGGGAAAAGAAAATTTTAATAAGTTTCAATTTTAAAACAATGGAGAAGTGGTGCTAGAAGTTTTTAATTAATTTTTCTGTCATTTTCTTTTATAATTTCTCTGTTGACATTTTTTAACCCTTTCTTCATTTTTTAAAAGTTAAATTCATTAAATTTGGGATAATAATTATTTTTAATCTCTTAACTTTAACACGTTGCAACTCAATCTTTATAATTTATTAAGTTATAAAATTATACGGATTGAATTGTAGTAAATCAAAAAATTATAAGAACCAAGTTGTTTTGAGTTAATGAACTACAATGATTGAGTTGTTTTGAATTAAAGTTTAGGAAATGGATCAATAATTAACAAAAAATTAAGGAACAAAAGTTATATTTTCTGCAAAATTTTCATCAATTCCCTTCCAACAAAATAATGGGCAATTCTTTCTTGATTAAGTTATTATTATTCACCAAATGTATAATTTGTATTAGATTCCTTTATATGTACAATTTTTGTAATGTATTAAATTAAGGAATAACACAAATAAATAAGCAATCAAGAAATAAATAACTTTTTTTATAAAGTTTCATACGCACCTTATTTATATATTGATTTGTTATGTTTTAGAATATTTAAATTATTAAAATATTTGTTGTTGCAGTTAGTGGTGGAGGCGGCGAAGACGTTGTTGAGTACTGTGCTTAGCCTCAGCGGCGGAAACATGGACATTTGCGTATATGTCATAAAAAAATTCACAATCAATTATATATTATTAGCCTTTTATTTATAATTTATTTAAGCAAGCCTTTTAACGATATAATTAATTGTCAATAGTTTAATTTAATTACTCATGTCACTAATTTTAACTTGTACTATATGGTTATTGGCTTAGTTGCACATAACCTTTCACATATTCAAAAGCTTAAAAGACACACCCTCATCTTTTTATATTGCCATCATTAGCCCCCTATTTTTAA